GGGGCGGGGGGGGGGGGTGGTTAGGGGCGTCTACCCACACAGTCGAAAATCCAGGTGTAACTTTTGACTCCCTAAAAACTTAGCAACAGTTGGCTCCTTTTCATCCATGGATTCAACCAACCACAGGTGGAAAACCGTGTTTAGGAAACCGTGTTTGGGGATGTGAAAGTACAGTTTTCCACGGGGATGGTTGAATTAACAGGTGGGAAATCCGTGGATATGAAGGGCTAATTGTATTTATTGAAAAAATTTCACATAGGAGTGGACCCCTGCAGCTCAAACCTGTGTTGTTCAAGGGCATAGCTGAAGACTGAAGACTCTATGTTCCTTTTAATTTTTTTTAAGAACTTTATTTTTCAATTATTATAGACATACAATATTATATTAGTTTCAGGTATACGACCTAGTAATTAGACATTTATATATCTTACAAAGTGATAACTCCGATAAGTCTAGAACCCATCTGACACCATGTATAGTTATTATGGACAATATTATGGACTATATTTCCTATGCTTTGTTAAGTCTTTTAAATACATGTATCTCATGCAACCCTCAAAACAACCTGTGTTGTCACATGGGTGCTGTTAGTCTCCTGATTTTATAAATTTTGAAACAGGTACATTTAGGTGATGCAATTTGCCCAAGATTACACAAAACTCGTAGGTAAGGGAAGGGCTGAATGCCTAGAAAGGAAAGACATCTCATGCAACCCTCAAAACAACCTGTGCTGTCACATGGGTGCTGTTAGTCTCCTGATTTTATAGATCTTGAAACAGGTACATTTAGGTTGTAATTTGCCCAAGATTACACAAAACTAGTAGGTAAGGGAAGGGCTGAATGCCTAGAAAGGAAAGAGCATTTACTGAATGTCTACTATGTTTCCCAGGCCCTATTTGAACTTGATTTTCACATTCACCCTGTAAGTAGATGTTGTTAGTCCCATTTCACAGATGGTAGAAATTGAGGCTCAGAGAAAGTACTTGCAGTGAGTATACAGTGAATGGGTGAAGAGGCCACCCAGTGTCTCCTTGGGGAGCTGACGAGGACCCTCCATTCTTATCACCCCCCTGCAGGTGGGTACCTAGCACACAGCTTGGCAATCATGACTGATGCAGCCCATCTGCTCACTGACTTTGCCAGCATGCTCATCAGCCTCTTCTCTCTCTGGATGTCCTCCCGGCCAGCCACCAAGACCATGAACTTCGGCTGGCAGCGAGCTGGTAAGGGCCCTGGTCTGAATGGGGTTGGGGGTTGCAAGAGTGACAGGTCAAGATATGGTTTCTTAGGTGGATCCCCTGAGTGAGGCCAGGAGAGCAACTTTCATGGGGGAGGATAATGTCAAGCTTGGCTTCTGTCCTCTGGGAACTCCCAGACTGGGGGGGAAGGAGAGTTCACCTTCCAATGAAATGAAGTGGGCAAACTTCAAGAACAAATGGGGGGGGGCGGTAAAGAGGGCAGGGGGTCGGTGCAGGAAAGGTCAGCAAAGCTTTCTGGAGGATACAGGCTTTAAACAGGTATACATTTTAAAAAAGCATTTTCATTACATGTAAAACAAAGTCTTGAGCCAAATGACTTAACTCCTAGCTCTGATATTGTCAGACGTTTGAGTGGTGGGATAAGGTGCAGACCCAGGCCCTGACTTGGGACAGAGGTCTCCTCAGCCTTCGGGCTCCACACTAAGATTGGTGTTGGGGTTGGCTCTTCCTCAGAGATCCTGGGAGCCCTGCTGTCTGTGCTGTCCATCTGGGTGGTGACTGGGGTGCTGGTGTACCTGGCAGCAGAGCGGCTAATCTCTGGGAACTACGAGATCGAGGGGAAGACTATGCTGATAACAGCGGGCTGCGCCGTGGCCGTGAACATCATGTGAGTCCTCCCTCCTCCCGTTTCTCACGTGCATACCTGTGTGCCTTCTGGTGGAAACAGGGCAGCCGGACTCCAGTACAGGAGTTCAAACTCAAAGGCTAACGCGGGCCAAATAAGCAAGGTTTAAGTTTATGTGGGCCGCAACAAAACAACAGCTTCACTTTTCATAGAAACGTAGGTTCATTTCGATAGAGACATGCTGAATACAAAGGGCTAAAATAAGTGAGTAATCGTTAACATAAAATAATAGAACATTTTAATACAAATTAATTTTTTTTTCTTGAACATTAACTTACCAGACATTGAATAACTACACAAATTAATAAGCATAATGCAAATAAATCTATTTTCCTTATTCTCCAAAAGCGAAATATTTCCTGTTGCGCACACCAAACAAGTCAGTCCAAGAGTAATGACATGGCAATCGGCTGCTAAAATATTCGCTGCTAGTGTTAATGGAGAGAAATGGTGCGCCTGTGCATAAGGCACATAAAGGAAATGAATGCAATACGATTATAGTAATCAGTCATTAGCGAACGTTCTAGTTCATTCATTATTAGTAATTATGTATAACAGGATATTGTAAAAATTAAGTTACGAAATTTTTTTTAATATAGTTTATTGATTTTTTACAGAGAGGAAGGGAGAGGGATAGAGAGTTAGAAACATCGATGAGAGAGAAACATCGATCAGCTGCCTCCCGCACACCCCCTACTGGGGATGTGCCCACAACCAAGGTACATGCTCTTGACCGGAATTGAACCTGGGACCCTTCAGTCCGCAGGCCGACTCTCTATCCACTGAGCCTAACCGGTCAGGGCAAGTTACGAAATTTTTATTAAAACGTTTTTTACATACCAATTTATTGGGTGGGCCGCAAAAATATTCGTTGCGGGGCCGCAAGTTTGACCTGCTTGGACTACAGGAACAGAATTTTCCTAATGGTCTGAGCTCTAGCATCTGGAACACCTGGGTTCTGCCTTAGGCCTGGGCCAAGACCATCAGGAACTGTAAGTCTGGGGCAGCATCAACTCCACCCCACCCCACACGAGTTGGTGAATAACCTGGGAGGCTTCATACCTGAGGTGGGAAGGGGTTAGTCTAGTTCTTGTAGGAGCAGATGTCCCTTGGGGAAGAGTCCAAGTTCTTTTTCAAGTGGATGTGGTTGAAGTTGGTCTCAGTGAGAGGCAGGGTGTGTAGAGCGGCTGTCTTATTTGGGTTCTCTCTCCCTTGTTCAGTGGCCTAGAGCAAGCCACTCCTCGGCTTCCCTGTCTGTGGCACAGCGGGGGGTGGGGGGTGGGGTGGGGGGCTGATGACTGCATGGTGTTCTGCTCTGAGACGTGGCACTGGGGCATCTTTGTGCCCAGATTCAGCCTGGCATTGGAGTTGAGCCCTCTCTCCTGTGGCACTCTGAACCAAGGCCTCGTGGGTTGGGTCAGGCTCCTCACATAGTCAAAGGGATCATGCAGTCTGGGGCTTTGGGCTTTTAGTCCCACAGGGAGGCCAGCCTTCATGAGTAGCCTTTACCTGGCTGATCTGAAGCCTCTGCCCTCCATCTCAGCGAGCCCTTTGGCGTTGTCTCCACTTCCGTAGAATGGGATTGACTCTTCACCAGTCTAGCCACGGACACAGCCACGGCCAAGGGCACGGACACAGCCACGGCCAAGGGCACAGCCACGACACCACCCAGCAGCAGGAGAACCCCAGCGTCCGAGCTGCCTTTATCCATGTGATCGGAGACTTGCTGCAGAGTTTGGGCGTCCTGGTGGCAGCCTATATTTTATACTTCAAGGTCAGAGCTGGGGACAGAGGGAGGTGGGCTGGGGAGTGGGGTAGGAGGGGACCCTCCTGCACAGGACCCTTTCCAGATTCTAGCCCCCTTTCTAGCTCCTGGCAAAAGGGTGGGGAGAGGGAAGGAGCATTTCTCTAACTTCGGGTGTTTTCTGCAGCTCAGAAAGGTTCAGGGACTTGCACAGCGTCACATAGCTAGTGAGTGGTGGAGCCAGATTCACACCCAGCAGTGTGTGCTGCCGAAGCCTGGGCATTGCCCATCACACAGAGGCAGTGCAGTATATTGGAAAGGGCCGGGCATTGAGTTTGAAGCCTGGCTCCACCCCTTGCCAGCTGTGTGATGAAGAGTGAGTCCCTTGCTCTAACTGAGCCTCAATTTCCCTAGCTACAAAATAGGGGTGATGGGCTAAATGGTGCCTAAGATTCCACTTAGATCTGTCCATGTTTCAGCCCCGTGGCAAGGAGGTGGGAAGGGACTATGCCTTATCTGAACTGTGGTCTGGCGTGCCTGTCCTTCCGGGTACGGAATAAACTGGGAGGCAGGGCCAGGGTAAGGCTCATGCCCACCCTGGTACAGAGAGAGCCCCTCCTCCCTACGCACTGTGAGGCTGAGGTGTGGACGTTGAACCCTAGCTCTGCCTTCCCTTTTTCCTGCAGCCAGAGTACAAGTACGTAGACCCCATCTGCACCTTCATCTTCTCCATCCTGGTCCTGGGGACAACCTTGACCATCCTGAGAGACGTGATCCTGGTGCTAATGGAAGGTAACCGGGCGTGGGGCTCCCTTTTTGCTCTTGGCTCTCCAGCTCTCATGGAAGTTCCACTGTGAGGGTTGGATCCCAGCACATTGGTGGGGAGCCAGGGTCTGGAGCCGGCATAGCCTGGGGCCCTAGGCCGGTCTTGGCACGGAGCTGGGCCCTCAGGGTGGCCATTCCTGGAAATGTCCCCTGGACTGTGCCTTCCCTTCCCCCTAGGCACAGGGTGCCTCCTCCCTGCTGAGGTGCGTCCTTCTTGCCTAATCAGGCGGTTTCTGGGTTAGCCCCTGGCACTCTCGCCCCTCCCCATACACTTCCTCAGTCTCAATTTGCCTTCCTCAGACAGAGAGAGGGTTGAGGATCATGCTTCCCATTGCACAGGGGGACAGACTGAGGCTCAGAAAAAGACGGTCAGTGTTGAACAAGGCTGCTGAGAATGTGAAGCAGTCCGGGCCATCTTTTCCGAGGCCCCTGCATCAGGAGGATGTGGCTGGACTCGGAGGGGTGCTAGGTAGTGAGTGGCAAATGGTCTGCCCTGAGTTACCACACTGTTCATCCGGCTTTCATGTGCTCCAGGTCTTGGGGTCATGGGTCTCTGTGTGGGAGGGTCATCTGGATCCTGGTTTGTGGTCAGCAGGAATGTCCAGCTGCAGGTCAGAGCTTTTCCTCCAAGAAAAAGTGACTGACCCAGATCAAAGTGACAATGATGATGCCTCACGTAGGTGCAGCTTCCCAGGAAAAAAGAAAAACCTCTTTTTATTGAGCACCTACTATGGGCTAGGCACTGTTCTAGACACTGGAGAGGATAGGGTGGTAAATAAAAAATAAAGACTATCCTGCTTTCATGGAGCTTCCATTTTATTTTATTTTTAAATATATTCCACTGATTTTTTTTACAGAGAGGAAGGGAGAGGGACAGGAGGGGGAGACACGAGAAACCAACAAACAAGAGAATTTCAGTGGTAAGTGTTAAGAGGAAAACACAACAGGTGATATGATGGAGATCACATGGACGGTGGGGTAACAGCAGGTCTGCTGGCCGAGGCGCTCTTCTGAGATGACCTTGGAGGAGCGGGAACCAGCATGGGTGGAAGGGAGCAGTTCCCCTCAGCCCCGTCCCTGCTGTCCCCAGGTACCCCCAAGGGCGTGATGGAGCTTCCATTTTAGAAGGGGAGTCACGAGAAACCAACAAACAAGAGAATTTCAGTGTTAAGTGTTAAGAGGAAAACACAACAGGTGATATGATGGAGATCACATGGACGGTGGGGTAACAGCAGGTCTGCTGGCCGAGGCGCTCTTCTGAGATGACCTTGGAGGAGCGGGAACCAGCATGGGTGGAAGGGAGCAGTTCCCCTCAGCCCCGTCCCTGCTGTCCCCAGGTACCCCCAAGGGCGTGGACTTCACAGCTGTGCGGGACCTGCTGCTGTCAGTGGAGGGGGTGGAAGCCTTGCACAGCCTGCACATCTGGGCACTGACTGTGACCCAGCCTGTGCTGTCTGTCCACATCGCCATTGGTGAGTGGTGGGGACACTGGGGGTGGGGGGAAAGGGAGGGGCAGCCAGAGAGGCCCAGGCATCCCTGATGGGGTCCAGGCAATCCCAGATGCTGCTGGTGCCCATGCTTTGAACCTGGCCCCATGTGGAGTGCTTTGTGTGCATTATTTCATTTGATCATCACAGTCCCATTTATAGATGAAGAAACTGAGGCTGGAGGAGGGGAGCTGGGGGGGGGGGGGGGGGTGTAGAGGAAAGCCTAAAAGCCAGTGCCCTTCGTGTTCTTTCGGGATGTGGCAGGACCTGGGGCTGGGGGTGGGGGCGGGTATCTGGTGCAGGGGTGGAATCTTAGTGTTCATGGACAGGTATCCTGTTCTGCTGTGGGTAGGGCATGAGAGTTGGGCTCCCGATTGTTTCTAAGGGGCCACGAGTGAGTAAATGTTTTTCTGGTGTGTCCTCTTGTCTCCCAGCTCAGAACACAGATGCCCAGGCTGTGCTGAAGGCAGCCAGCGCCCGCCTACAGGGGAAGTTCAACTTCCACACCATGACCATCCAGATCGAGGACTACTCTGAGGACATGAAGGACTGTCAGGCGTGCCAGGGCCCCTTGGACTGACGGCCCGGCCAGGTGCCCACTGGAGCACGGACAGGACCTGCAGATGGTGGGGCCCCGTGTCCCCCAGGCCCAGCCAGGACTCTGTTTACCCTGGCGGTGTCATAAACCAGATCCCTCTTCTGGCCTCAGCTCCATGCTCAGCGCGGAGGAGCCTTGCCCACTCCAGGAACGGGGCTCCTCCCTGGCCTCCCATCCGACGAAGCAGCCCCAGGATGGGGACTCAGCAGGTACAAGCCCACTCCTCCTGCTCCTGGGTCAGTTCCTGGTGGGGCTGGGTTTGGGCCTGCTCCTCCGCCAATGCTGTCTTACCACCAGCCTCAGGGAGAGGCAGTGAGGGATGCTGCAGGGGAGCCTGGCCGCAGCACCCCCTGCCTACCTGCCTCATTTCCCATCTTCTTTGCCTTAGAAATCTGTAAAGAAATCTTGGGGCTGAGCCCCCTCCCTCTGCCTCTAACATGATCTGATTTAAGGAGGCCATGGGGGCTAGGGAGTTTCGAGACAGACTAGTAAGCCAGGACAAGTGGAATAGGGAAACCGAGACAGAGAAATGGCCAAGCAGGTTACAGCCAGCCACCGAGTAAATCACAACATCCCATCTCCCCTAGCCAAGGACGCTTACGAGTAAGTGGTTTGCGTGTCTCCCCAACCAGAGGATAAAGAGCTAAAATCTCAGGAAGACAGATAACACAACCAATGAGTGCCATTTATACCAACCACATCCAAGGACAGGTGAAGTTAGGGGAATAAATCTCATTTTGGTGCATCAGCATAAAGCTGATTAATATTCTATTGAGAGCCTCCCCTAAACTCCCAGCCTTTAAAACCCTCAAGATGAAGGACTTAGGAGCCTTTTCTCCCTCGCCCCACCCCCCCATGCATTACCTCCGCCTTTCTCCTAAGCTCCAAGGGCCCTTCTGTAAGTTTCTAAATAAACTTTCTCTTAAAATTCGCGTTCTTGGCTCTGAAATCCTTCTCTGCTAAACTCAAGAGCTGAGGTGGTTTCCCTGCCAACACCACCATTAACACAAGGCCCCAGCCCTCTCCTCTGTGTCCCCCTGAGAAGGGGAGCCACGGGGCACCCAAGGCCCATCTGTGTGGTAGTCACTTCAGCTGTGAGCCAGATGTTTCCCTTTCCAAAGGGAGGAGGCTTCTGACCAGGTAAGAACCTGGCTGGGTTCCTCTCTGCTTATTCCCCAGCCCAGGAAGCTGTGCCAACACAAAGATGCCCTAGCACAGTTGGGGGAGGAGCAGGAATGTCACCCCGGGTCCTGCCCTGCCCACCTCACAGCTCCTGGGCCACTTCGCAGCCTGATAGAGTCCTGAAGTCAGACCTGCTTGGGCCAGCGCTGTTTCCTCTGTGACATGACATACTCTGAACTTGGGGATGGAGGACAGAGCGGCTGTACAATTGGGACAGGACAGGAGAAGATGGCCTCCTGGAGTGTGTGAAGGTTCCTGACTTAGGGGGTGGCTTGCATTTAGAAGATGAAGGGGGACCTGTCCCCAGGCTCACAGAGAAGGCAGCCTGCCCTGGTCTAGTGGTCTGTCTGCCATAGCCAGCCAGCGCCCTTAGGCAAGTCAGCCTGGCTGTGCCTCTGATTCTCTGAGAATGTTAACCCCTACTTCACAGGCTGTGGGAACTGGAGCCAGAGTCTGCGAGGCACCTGGTCAGTGAAGGGTTACTTTGATCTTTACCCTGGAAAGATGCAGCCTGAGGCTGCCTGGGTGAGGAGTCCAGGCTGCCTGGGTGAGGAGTGGGGGAAGGGGGAGGTGGGGGGGGCTTCTCAGCCTCCCCAGGGGCAGCAC